CGACTCAGAGAAAGAGAAGGGGACGACTCAGAGAGAGAGTGGACGACTCAGAGAGAGAGACAGAGGACGACTCAGAGAGAGAGAGTGGACGACTCAGAGAGAGAGACAGAGGACGACTCAGAGAGAGAGAAGTGGACGACTCAGAGAGAGAGAGTGGACGACTCAGAGAGAGAGACAGAGGACGACTCAGAGAGAGAGGACGACTCAGAGAAAGAGAAGACAGAGAGAGAGAGGACGACTCAGAGAGAGAGGATGACTCAGAGAGAGATGGGACGACTCAGAGAGAGAGGGGACGACTCAGAGAGAGACGAGTCAGAGAGAGAGAAGGGGATGACTCAGAAAGAGAGAGAGAGAGGACGACTCAGAGAGGGGACGACTCAGAGAGAGAGACGAGTCAGAGAGAGAGAGAGGACGACTCAGAGAGAGACAGAGGACGACTCAGAGAGAGAGAGTGGACGACTCAGAGAGAGACAGAGGACGACTCAGAGAAAGAGAGAGAGGACGACTCAGAGAGAGATGACTCAAAGAAAGAGAGAAGACGACTCAGAGAGAGACAGAGGACGACTCAGAGAGACAGAGTGGACGACTCAGAGAGATAGAGAGAGTGGACGACTCAGAGAGAAGGGGACGACTCAGAGAGAGAGAGAGACAGAGGACGACTCAGAGAGAGGGGACGACTCAGCGAGAGACAGAGGACGACTCAGAGAAAGAGAAGGGGACGACTCAGAGAGAGAGTGGACGACTCAGAGAGAGAGACAGAGGACGACTCAGAGAGAGAGAGTGGACGACTCAGAGAGAGAGACAGAGGACGACTCAGAGAGAGAGAAGTGGACGACTCAGAGAGAGAGAGTGGACGACTCAGAGAGAGAGACAGAGGACGACTCAGAGAGAGAGGACGACTCAGAGAAAGAGAAGACAGAGAGAGAGGACGACTCAGAGAGAGAGGATGACTCAGAGAGAGATGGGACGACTCAGAGAGAGAGGGGACGACTCAGAGAGAGACGAGTCAGAGAGAGAGAAGGGGATGACTCAGAAAAAGAGAGAGAGAGGACGACTCAGAGAGGGGACGACTCAGAGAGAGAGACGAGTCAGAGAGAGAGAGAGGACGACTCAGAGAGAGACAGAGGACGACTCAGAGAGAGAGAGTGGACGACTCAGAGAGAGACAGAGGACGACTCAGAGAAAGAGAGAGAGGACGACTCAGAGAGAGATGACTCAAAGAAAGAGAGAGGACGACTCAGAGAGAGACAGAGGACGACTCAGAGAGACAGAGGGGACGACTCAGAGAGAGAGAGAGGACAACTAACAGAGAGAGAGGACAACTCAGAGGCACCAGGAAGAGGAACCACACAGACGAGGGAGTGGGGAGGCAGCAGCAGCAGCCACTTGGTGTTTAGGAGCCGGCGCCACCAACAAATGCCCCAAGCTCTGCGGCCCTCTACGTATTAAGATGTTAGAGGAAACCAGAGCTCCCGGAGAAAACCCACACGTGCGAGGGGGAAACACGCTATCCCCGTGCAGACGGAGCAATGTGGGAAGGCCGCGTTTTTGCTCACCCACGGGAAGGAAGGGAGGGGAGTTTGGCAGCCACCTGTAGGATATGCACGGATGTGGGTTGGACTTCTTTCGCACCGTACGTAGCCAGCCGTGCTGATCAGAGGTGCGGGGGAAGGACAACCAACTAAACACAAACATGAGTTCTAAAGAAATGAGTTTGTCAATCTGGACGATGATGATGATTTAAAGGTGCATCTTAGCTCACGGTGGCTTCCCAATATCGGAAGGAAGAAGCGTTCCAGACGGCCACAGAACGCATCTGAAAGTGCGCGATGCGGTGTGTTAGTTCATGGGTCTCTATGTGATGAGTCAATGTGCAGTGTTGAGTCAATGGGTAGTGTTGAGTCTATGGGTAGTGTTGAGTTTGGACAGGGTTGAGTCTGGGCAGTGTTGAGTCTATGGGCAGTGTTGAGTCTATGGGCAGTGTTGAGTCTACGGGTAGTGTTGAGTCTATGGGTAGTGTTGAGTCTATGGGCAGTGTTGAGTCTATGGGCAGTGTTGAGTCTATGGGCAGTGTTGAGTCTATGGGTAGTGTTGAGTCTATGGGCAGTGTTGAGTCTATGGGCAGTGTTGAGTCTATGGGTAGTGTTGAGTCTATGGGTAGTGTTGAGTCTATGGGTAGTGTTGAGTCTATGGGCAGTGTTGAGTTTGGACAGGGTTGAGTCTGGGCAGTGTTGAGTCTATGGGCAGTGTTGAGTCTATGGGCAGTGTTGAGTCTATGGGCAGTGTTGAGTCTGGGCAATGTTGAGTCTATGGGCAGTGTTGAGTCTATGGGTAGTGTTGAGTCTATGGGCAGTGTTGAGTCTGGGCAATGTTGAGTCTATGGGCAGTGTTGAGTCTATGGGCAGTGTTGAGTCTGGGCAATGTTGAGTCTATGGGCAGTGTTGAGTCTATGGCAGTGTTGAGTCTGGGCAATGTGAGTCTATGGGCAAGTGTTGAGTCTATGGGTAGTGTTGAGTCTATGGGCAGTGTTGAGTCTGGCAATGTTGAGTCTATGGGCAGTGTTGAGTCTATGGCAAGTGTTGAGTCTATGGGAAGTGTTGCAGTCTATGGGCAAGGTTGAGTCTATGGGCAGTGTTGAGGTCTATGGGCAGTGTGAGTCTGGGCAATGTTGAGTCTATGGGCATGTTAGTTTGAGTGTGATGGTCTATGGGCAGTGTTGAGTCTGGGCATGTTGAGTCATGGGCATGTTGAGGTCTATGGGCAGTGTTGAGTCTATGGCAGTGTTGAGTCTGGGCAATGTTGAGTCTAGGGCAGTGTTGAGTCATGGGCATGGTTGAGTCTGGGCAATGTTTGAGCTCTATGGGCAGTGTTGAGTCTATGGGCAGTGTTGAGTCTGGGCAATGTTGAGTCTATGGGCAGTGTTGAGTCTATGGGCATGTTGAGTCTGGCAATGTTGAGTCTATGGGCAGTGTTGAGTCTATGGCAGTGTTGAGTCTGGGCAATGTTGAGTCTATGGGCAGTGTTGAGTCTATGGGCAAGTGTTGAGTCTGGGCAATGTTGAGTCTATGGGCAGTGTTGAGTCTATGGCAGTGTTGAGTCTGGGCAATGTTGAGTCTATGGGCCGTGGTTGAGTCTATGGCAGGTTGAGTCTGGGCAATGTTGAGTCTATGGGCAGTGTTGAGTCTATGGGCAGTGTTGAGTCTGGGCAATGTTGAGTCTATGGGCAGTGTTGAGTCTATGGGCAGTGTTGAGTCTGGGCAATGTTGAGTCTATGGGCAGTGTTGAGTCTATGGGCAGTGTTGAGTCTGGGCAATGTTGAGTCTATGGGCAGTGTTGAGTCTATGGGCAGTGTTGAGTCTGGGCAATGTTGAGTCTATGGGCAGTGTTGAGTCTATGGGCAGTGTTGAGTCTGGGCAATGTTGAGTCTATGGGCAGTGTTGAGTCTATGGGCAGTGTGAGTCTGGGCAATGTGAGTCTATGGGCAGTGTTGAGTCTGGGCAATGTTGAGTCTATGGGCAGTGTTGAGTCTATGGGCAGTGTTGAGTCTGGGCAATGTGAGTCTATGGTCAGTGTTGAGTTTATGGGCAGTGTGAGTCTATGGGCAGTGTTGAGTCTATGGGCAATGTTGAGTCTATGGGCAGTGTTGAGTCTGGGCAATGTTGAGTCTATGGGCAGTGTTGAGTCTATGGGCAGTGTTGAGTCTGGGCAGTGTTGAGTCTATGGGCAGTGTTGAGTCTGGGCAATGTTGAGTCTATGGGCAGTGTTGAGTCTATGGGCAGTGTTGAGTCTGGGCAATGTTGAGTCTATGGGCAGTGTTGAGTCTGGGCAGTGTTGAGTCTATGGGCAGTGTTGAGTCTGGGCAATGTTGAGTCTATGGGCAGTGTTGAGTCTATGGGCAGTGTTGAGTCTGGGCAATGTTGAGTCTATGGGCAGTGTTGAGTCTATGGGCAGTGTTGAGTCTGGGCAGTGTTGAGTCTATGGGCAGTGTTGAGTCTATGGGCAGTGTTGAGTCTATGGGCAGTGTTGAGTCTATGGGCAGTGTTGAGTCTATGGGCAGTGTTGAGTCTGGGCAGTGTTGAGTCTGGGCAGTGTTGAGTCTCTGGGCAGTGTTGAGTCTATGGACAGTGTTGAGTCTGGGCAATGTTGAGTCTATGGGCAGTGTTGAGTCTATGGGCAGTGTTGAGTCTGGGCAATGTTGAGTCTATGGGCAGTGTTGAGTCTATGGACAGTGTTGAGTCTGGGCAATGTTGAGTCTATGGGCAGTGTTGAGTCTATGGGCAGTGTTGAGTCTGGGCAATGTTGATGGGTATATGGGCAGTGTTGAGTCTATGGGCAGTGTTGTGAGTATGGGCAATGTTGAGTCTATGGGCAGGTGTTGAGTCTATGGGCAGTGTTGAGTCTGGGCAATGTTGAGTCTATGGGCAGTGTTGAGTCTATGGGCAGTGTTGAGTCTGGGCAATGTTGAGTCTATGGGCAGTGTTGAGTCTATGGGCAGTGTTGAGTCTATGGGCAGTGTTGAGTCTGGGCAATGTTGAGTCTATGGGCAGTGTTGAGTCTATGGGCAGTGTTGAGTCTGGGCAATGTTGAGTCTATGGGCAGTGTTGAGTCTATGGGCAGTGTTGAGTCTGGGCAATGTTGAGTCTATGGGCAGTGTTGAGTCTATGGGCAGTGTTGAGTCTATGGGCAGTGTTGAGTCTGGGCAATGTTGAGTCTATGGGCAGTGTTGAGTCTGGGCAATGTTGAGTCTATGGGCAGTGTTGAGTCTATGGGCAGTGTTGAGTCTGGGCAGTGTTGAGTCTATGGGCAGTGTTGAGTCTGGGCAATGTTGAGTCTATGGGCAGTGTTGAGTCTATGGGCAGTGTTGAGTCTATGGGCAGTGTTGAGTCAATGGGTAGTGTTGAGTCTGGGCGATGTTGAGTCTATGGGCATCAGATGTGAATTTTGAACTTTTTTCCCACCGTACTATCCAACTGCTCTAAATCTGTGCAGGGGACGGACACCAAACTGCGGCGCTGTAGACGCCACTGAACATCGCTGCACGCGGCTTCATCTTAGACGCCGTGGGGGGGGGGGGCGGCTTTCATCCAGCAGTGGAGAGGTCAAACACCAAAGGGGGCGGACGGATCTCTCACTCCGCGGAGGGGGAGGCTCCGTCTCCCCACACGCGCGATCTCTGTCCACGTTTTTAAAATTCACCGCACATTCGGCTCCGTATTCAATTGCGAGCTAAAAAGCAAAGAGAAAATAATTGGATGTTTTTTTTGTTCATTCCCTGTGCTCCTGCGTATCCGAGCCAGGTGAGATCTCTGATAGAGGAATAAAGGAAGATACGAAAGACTCCTATCACATCACACGCAAACAAGAGGGAGAGAGATCGAGAGGACGGGCTCAGATTAAAATGCGCCGCCGAGTAAAGAATGGTCACTTTGAAATCATGGGCAAGTAACATCGCAACGTCACGGAATCAAAACGTATTTGTCAATCGTATCGGCAATATGATGTCTTCTTTAAAATCGACTTTGCAGTAGGTGTCACCATGTGCTTATACACTCGTGTGTGTACGTGTGTGTGTGCGTGTACGTGTGTGTGTGTACGTGTGCGTGTGTGTGCGTGTGTGTGCGTGTGTGTGCATGTACACGTGTGTGTACGTGTGTGTGTGTACACGTGTGTGTACGTGTGTGTGTACAGGGGAGCGGTGGTGTAGCGGTTAGCGCTCTGCGCTCTGCGCTGCGAACCCAGTGAGCCGAGTTTGATTCCCGCTCACGGCCAACACCGGTGACGATTATCTGAACCAGTCCCGGGCCTCCCTTAGGCCGACTCAGCCTCAAATGAGTACCTGGTGCGGTGTGTAAACATCGTCACTAGGGAGACAAAGGCGGTCGGGCGTGGTGTTGGCCACCCACCCCCTCGTGTGCCATTCTGGCCTTCATAGATGCTCGCTAACAGCACTTGCCCCTCCAGTCTGTTAAGGCTATATGGGGGATCTTTGTCTTTGACAGAGAGGACCAAAAGTCGGTACACATCGAGTTTACACTACCATTAAAATAATTTAATCCAAATAATAAATATTGCTATAAAATAGATTCCTGTTTACATGATTGTGGTTATGGTTGTACTTTATTCATGCCTAATCTCTGCCATTACATACAATGAAACAAGAAAAGGTAAATAAGAATGAGACACCATTAAAACCTCATTTGCCAGTAAAAATATGATAATTGTTTTTTTTTACCCTTCTATCTGGCAACAAAACTGACACCTTTTTGGCGTCATCTGGTCCAACCCATGTGAGACTAGGCTGTAAGGAAAGCTGTCTCGGGTGTGGACCAGTCAACTTCAAGGACAGTGCATACATTATCAGAGTTGTGTTTTTTGTTTGCATTATGACTGCAGGTATTGTGGTCTATGTAAACATGACTCCTTGTAAAAAAGGTGTCAGTTTTGTTGCCAGATAGAAGGGTAAAAACAAAAACAATTAAGAAAAGAGACATTATTGTAAAAAAATTATAAAAAGTCCATCCGATGTATTAGTGATTTTTTTTTTATCTTTTAGGCAGGAAATTCGTTTTCAAATTTAGAATTTTTTTCTGGGGGGGGGAACGTTTTCAAATTTAGATTTTTTTTCTGGGGGGGGGGACGTTTTCAAATTTAGATTTTGTTTTCTGGGGGGGGGGACGTTTTCAAATTTAGATTTTGTTTTCTGGGGGGGGGACGTTTTCAAATTTAGATTTTTTTTTCTGGGGGGGGGAACGTTTTCAAATTTAGATTTTGTTTTCTGGGGGGGGGGACGTTTTCAAATTTAGATTTTTTTTATGGCGGGGGGGGGGGACCCCCCCAGACCCCCTGTAAGATTTGGTCCCCCCCAATGTTGACTCCATGGCTACGGCCTTGCTTTAATCGTTTGTTCTTTGTGTTAATATCATGGGTTTTTTTTTAGATTACAGTCATCGATATCTATTTGTCCACGTCTTCCTTTTCAGATGAGCTTTTCAGAATGGAAAGAAAATCGACTGATTTGAAGTAAAACGTAATTGAACAACGTCCGATAGATTACATCCGTAAGCTTGCAAAAGTCAAAAACCAAAAAACACAACACCCGGCCAAAATTCATTTCAGAAGAGAATTCCTGCGCGATGCATTCATCTTAATAACGGAAGTCAATTTCAACATCTGTTAAAGCAAATTTAACAACCCCACATGCGAGAACCCTCCGTGTCCTGACTTTTGTGGCAGCCTTTATATGATTAAGATGCACTGATTAGCAGCAGCGAAAGCCAGCCACCGACTTCCAACACAGAGCGCGCTGGTTCGATTCCTATGGGTTAAGTTAGTACGGGGCCTGTAGCATATGATGTGATAAAGGAGGCCCTAAATAAATAAATAAACATTTATATTACAATATATGTTTTACTTGCATAGTAAATAAATTGTATTTTTTCATTTGCTACACAGCCAGATAATACCACAAATCGCTAACCTTAAACACCCGGTCGAAGGCGGTATAGTACTATAGTAATAGAGCAAGTGCAGAATCACTGAAACGGAATTGATATCTTGAAAGCATTTAGCGCGGGGCCCTTGAAAGTGCGGGGCCCGTAGCTACATATGTAGTAGCTACTACATGTGTAGTAGCAGCTACATATGTAGTAGCCACTACATGTGTAGTAGTAGCTACATGTGTAGTAATAGCTACTACATGTGTAGTAGCAGCTACATATGTAGTAGCCACTACATGTGTAGTAGCTACTACATGTGTAGTAGCTGCTACATATGTAGTAGTAGCAGCTACATATGTAGTAGTAGCTACATATGAAGTAGCCACTACATGTGTAGTAGTAGCTACATATGTAGTAGTAGCAGCTACATATGTAGTAGTAGCTACATATGAAGTAGCCACTACATGTGTAGTAGTAGCTACATATGTAGTAGTAGCAGCTACATATGTAGTAGCCACTACATGTGTAGTAGTAGCTGCTACATGTGTAGTAGCCACTACATGTGTAGTAGTAGCTACTACACATGTAGTAGCTACTACTACACATGTAGTTACTACTACATATGTAGTGGCTACTACATATGTAGCTACTACTACAAATGTAGTTACTACTACATATGTAGCTACTACCTCACATGTAGTAGCTACTACTACACATGTAGTAGCTACTACTACATATGTAGCTACTACTACACATGTAGTAGCTACTACTACATATGTAGTAGCAGCTACTACACATGTAGTAGCTGCTACTACATATGTAGCTACTACTACATATGTAGTAGTACTACATATGTAGTAGTAGCCACTACATGTGTAGTAGCAGCTACTACAGTAAAACCTTGGATTGCGAGTAACTTGGTCTGCGAGTGTTTTGCAAGACGAGCAAATTTTTAAAATAAATTTTAACTTGATAAACGAGCGAGGTCTTGCAATACGAGCAGTACGTGCATACGCTTTGTCTGCCGAGCGTCACGTGATCACAACTGATACACGAGTGCTTTGATATACGAGTGCTTTGGATTACACACACGTTTCCGGAACGAATTGTGCTCGCAATGCAAGGTTTTACTGTACTTTAGTATTTTTTTTAGTCTATGACATTTCAGGTGCTGCGCCGTTACCCCCTCGACATCTGTGTCGTGGAGATGTTCACACGCAACACGAGCCGCAGTCAACAAGCTGGTACGATTTGACTTCAGACGTTCACAGCCGCACACACAACACCACACACACACACAAACTAAGACAAAGATCCCCCGTGTAGCCTTCACAGACTGTTGGGGCAAGTGCTGTTAGCGAGCGGCACCTATGAAGGTCGGAACGGTACACGAAGCGGTGGGTGGCCAGCACCACGCCCGGCCGCCTTTGTCTCCCCAGTGGCGATGTTTACACACCGCACCAGGTACTCATCTGAGGCTGAGTCGACCTAGGGGAGGCCCAGGACCGGTTCAGATAATCGTCACCGGTGTTGGTGGCCGTGATCGCGAATCGAACCCGGGTGGACGGGGGTTCGTAGCGCAGCGTAGCGCTAACCGCTGCACCACCGCTCGCCGCACACCGCACGCACGCAAAGGGAGACTCAATCCACGGTGTTGGCCGTTACCCTGGACATTGCACCATTATAATGCTTTATTGGCTCTTCGCGTGATTTATACGAGTGGGCTCGTGTAGAAAAAGGAAAGAACGTCGGGGCGAGGTGTCCGTGTTGCTAAGAGGGGTTCGTAATCGCCGCGCCAGAAGCACTGATGAGGGATCCACGAAGCGTCTAATCGTGGGCTCAGTGTGTGTGTGTGTCTCTGTGTGTGTGTGTGTCTCTGTGTGTGTGTGTGTGTCTGTGTGTGTGTGTGTGTCTGTGTGTGTGTGTCTATGTGTGTGTGTGTGTCTCTGTGTGTGTCTGTGTGTGTGTCTCTGTGTGTGTTTCTGTGTGTGTCTCTGTGTGTGTCTCTGTGTGTGTGTCTCTGTGTGTGTGTCTCTGTGTGTGTGTCTGTGTGTGTCTCTGTGTGTGTGTCTGTGTGTGTGTGTCTCTGTGTGTGTGTGTGTCTCTGTGTGTGTGTCTCTGTGTGTGTGTCTCTGTGTGTGTGTCTGTGTGTGTCTCTGTGTGTGTGTCTGTGTGTGTGTCTCTCTGTGTGTGTGTGTCTCTGTGTGTGTGTCTGTGTGTGTGTGTCTCTGTGTGTGTGTCTCTGTGTGTGTGTCTCTGTGTGTGTGTCTCTGTGTGTGTGTCTGTGTGTGTCTCTGTGTGTGTGTGTCTGTGTGTGTGTGTGTCTCTGTGTGTGTGTGTCTCTGTGTGTGTCTCTGTGTGTGTCTCTGTGTGTGTCTCTGTGTGTGTGTGTCTCTGTGTGTGTGTCTGTGTGTGTCTCTCTGTGTGTGTCTCTGTGTGTGTGTCTCTGTGTGTGTGTCTCTCTGTGTGTGTCTCTCTGTGTGTCTCTGTCTGTGTCTTTGTCTCTCTGTCTCTGTCTCTCTGTCTGTGTCTCAGATAGAGAGAACGACTCAGAGAGAGAGAGGACGACTCAGAGAGAGAGGACGACTCAGAGAGA